TAAAATAATTCTGCAATAAAAAAAATAAGAAAAAAAATAAAATAATTCTGCAATACACCAGGCACACAAAAGCGTGTATACAACTTAGGCGCCCATTAGAAGGAAAAGCACGAAATAAAGACACGTCCGGGAAGCCCCCACCCTGCTTAACGGGAGCGCGTGACCACACCTCCCGACATTCCAGCACATTCTCCTCCCTTTGCTTACTGTGGCTTTAGTGACCACTGGCCTGAAAACTGCGTTAACAGTCGACTTACCTTGTTTAAGATATGACTGCACGCAGATCCATTGCTAAGCGAAAGACGGCCAGATTTTGCCAGTTTTTGGACTCTCACAACGGAATTATGTTGTGTAAATTGTGTGACTTGAAGTTTTCTTCTCGTGAGCTTCATGCACTGGGAGGCCTGGGCTTGTCCACCGCCTGATTTCCCTGCCCCACAGTATTTCACTCTCGGGATCGTGTGAGTTGTTTCCAGGCTTCGCCGGGGCAAACAATGTCCGCCTGAACATCCCTGAAGGGCGCAGATCCGAGAGTGGGCAGTCACGCTGTGCTTCCAATCCTGGCCACTCAGTCCCTGCTTGTGTGACCTTGTGTCGGGGAGCAAGTCAACGTACCCCCTGTGTTCTGGGTTCTGCACCTGTAAAGTGCATGCATTAAAAGGCTGTCAGGAGAATTAAGTGAGCTAATGTAGACAGGGCACTTAATTGCCGTCTGGCATGGGGTCCGTTTAAAGATTCGATATGAAGATAATGATGGTGACGGTGACGGTGATCGTCTCCAGTGTGCACGCGCCCTGTGTGCTCATCCCCAGTGCGCTCAGGCTTCGTCCCCGTTTGTGTGTCCCCTGTGTGCCCAGCCCCGCTGCATTGCCCCCTCGCCAACACTTTCCAATGTTCTCGGCGGGCTCTGCTCTCCTGTCCATATAAAACGTGTCTCAGTTGAGTTGAAAGCTATCTGTGTGGCAGTGAGAACAAAGCTGAGGAAAGAAGAATGGGACGGGACGTAGCCCCCCCCCCACCCCAGGCACACCCATCCCTGTGGTCAGGGGGTCCGAGTTGAGTGAAGATGCGTGCGCTCCGTGGAGCCTTCTGGGGGCAGGTGAGAGGGGCGAGGGGCTGACCTGAGACCAACGTACCGAGAGCACGGCTTCTCCTCGGCTCCCTGATCTTTGGGAGGCAGGGCGGCCGCTGGGACGGGAGGGGTCCCCGGTGCCGTGCTCGGCTCCCGCTTCCCCGCCAGCAGCCGGGAGTTCTCAGCAACCAGGCCACCGTCCATCTGCCGTCTAGAATAATGAGCTCAGCCCTCGGCTGCTGGCACAAGCCAGCTTTCCTTCTATTCACTGGATTATCCTCACAGTTCCCCATTGTGTTTGCTAATGGCCTCACAGGGCGCAGCCTGTTACCTTTCCCCCCCCCTGCCCGCGGCTCTGGGGGAAGGCCTGATCTCTCTGACCCGAAGGGCTGGGCGTGCGGTGGCAGGAATGCGGCCAGTGCCTGGGGACCCGGGTCACCCTCCCACCCTCCGGCCCTCACCGCAGCCGACGGGCCCGGCCTCAAGTGTCACAACATCGTATGGGACGCCCTCCCCTCCTCGCGACCTGCTTGGGTCACCACATGGCCCATCTTCTGTGTCTTTTTAAGTCCTACCCCAATTAAGCACATGGCTGTCCCCATGGCTGTGACAGATGGCCCGGGTGCCTGAGGTGGGTTGGAGGCTGTGTAAGGGGCCCTCCGTTCACCGACGATTTCCTCATCACCTTCAGAGAAGAGGCGACAGGACCGTGTGGCTGGACTCGCGGCTCGTTCTGGGTTCCAGGCCGGGTCCTGCAGACAGAAGTTGCCAGAGTAGTCCCTGTCCCCTTAGTCTCCCGCCACGACCTCCTTGTGCAGCCGAGGGTGTAGACGGGCAGAAAGGGTGACACGAGAGCTCATGTGGCAGCAAGATGGCTCACATCTCCTGGGGGGGGGGGGTCTGAAAACTCCACCATCAGGAAGGAGTGTCCTATGGTAATGACACCAATAAGTGGCTATTGTCCTTCCGGCTTAGCTGAGGAATGGATCTGTTTACCTAAAAAACGAGATGTCAAAGCACAGAAGCCCCCAGGGACCTGCCCCGACTTAGCGGAGTGTTGCTCGCTGCGCCCAGCTTTCCCGGGGGACTCGGCTTCTTGGGGGGCTGCAGGACACCGGCCACTGGCCCCGGGGCGGCTGCTCTCTGACCGCCACAGGTCCCTAGCCCCTGACGCACACTTATGGGGGGCGGTTCCCGTTGGCGCGTGTGTGAGCACATGTGCGTGCCTGCCCCCGCGGAGGCCTGAGCGCACGTCCCAGACGGCTGCCGGCTTTGTTGTCTGAGGCACAGCTTTCTCCAGATTTGCTGATCTTAAAAGCGGTGACATGCCGTGTCAGATCTGCCCAAAGTCCAGGCACGTGGCCACGTCGAGCATGCAAATGAGTCGGACGCTTGCCCGTGGCCTCGGGGCAGCGGAGCCAGCCTCGCCCCCCCCCCCCCCCCAACCCCCAGGCCCAGCAGGTGCCGTGCAGGGCAGGTGTGCGGCTCACCATATGCTCTGGCCGGGTCGGGTTTCAATTACCCACCAGGTGAGGTGCAGAGGGTGGAGAGGGGCCCACGCTGCCTGCGGCTGCATGAGTCACCTTTGGGCATTCGGTTGCTCTGCACTGACAGCTGTTTCGTGTGCAACTTTGGAGCCGGCACAGCCCTGAAACCCTGGCCACAACAGGCAGAAACGGACAGGAGCTGGCGGGGAGGGGCTGCGACCGCCTGCCGGGAGCCTCCAACCTGGGCGAATCGTTCTCAAGTCTTCTGCGTTTTGGAGAGCTCTGTTACACCCTTAAGAATGAAATCGGGGAATACCACCCAGACACGTGCGTTCTCTGTTTCTCACGTGGTGCCACGTTCGGGGACCCACAGTTGGGAGTTTCCCCGTCCGGCACGGTTGCCACTGGCCACACGTGGCCGCTTAAGTGTAAATTATTTGAAGTCGAATTTAAAAACATTGGTCTCTCGGTGCTGAGAGGTGGGGTCCTGGATAGTGTGGAGAGAGAGCACTCCCATCACTGTGGACGTTCAAGCAGGTGGCGGTGACTGGGAGGCTCAGGGAGGCGGCCTGGGGCTCCGGGCAGAGGCCGGTCGGCCGAATCCTCCTCCATCCTCAGAGGTGGCCGGGGTGCAGGTGTGCCCCGAGAAAGGCCTCCAGAGAGTCCAGCGTGCAGGGACCACGTGGAGCCCTCCCAGCACACCCGGCCGGGCCTGGTCGGCCTCAGTGGCGCATGCTTCCGGGGGAGTCTCTCGTGCCCCGGTCCCGCACGCCCGGAGGAACGCTTGCCCCACGTCAGACTTCTTGCCGTGGCTCCCGAAGAGCGTTCATGCGGCCGGACGGCCCCTCCGCGGGTGCCAGCGTGGGGCCCGAGCCAGGAGCCTGCAGCGTCTCCCAGCCGGTCTGGGTCTCCCTCTGTAATTTATCAGATGATCATGTTTGCATCCAGGGGGTAACGACACACACTGGGGTCTCTCAAACCGAAGCTCTGGTTCTCAAAGGCGCTCAAGTGCAAGCTGGGCCGCGTGCGCAGCAGGGAAGGGGTTCGGACGCCAACGGAGTCGGGGGCGGGGGCCCCCCCCCCTGGGGGGGCGCGCGGGCTTCGCTAGCGGGGCAGCATTTCACAGCACGTGCGGCCAGCTGTTGCGAGAAGAGAAAGCACCACCCCTTGGAAGAAAGGGGGAGATGTGCATCTGAGCGCGGGCCGCGGCCCCTCCCGCTGCCCTTGTTCTGGGGCGGCAGGCCCGCGACAGCTGGGTGTCACTAGCAGCTGCTTTTTCCTGGGGAGAAATTAAAAGATTAGGGGACGTGGGCACGTGCTGGCCTCAGGAGCCCAAACAATGCTTGATTTAGGGGGAAACTTGTCTGGGGAGGCTGACAAAGGAGGAGGCTCCGGGTTGGCCGGGGGGTCAGAGGGGGCCCGGCTCTGCCGGGGACAAAGGGGCCGAGGAGGGGGGCGCGGGGGGCTCGGGGCGCCGCCCAATGAAAAGGGGCCTAGGCGGCAGCTGCTGCGGCTCCAGAAATTTGAGACGGGTCTTTTCACAAACACAAATGCGGGAGAAGAATAGGGGGCCACGCTTAGCTGAAATGGCTCGTTTGCAAATGAAAGGGAGATTGAGAGCCCTTACATTTTCCAAGTTTTCACCTAAGAGGATGGAAAATGGTGAGGGCCCCGAGAGCACGCGTTGGGCCAGAAGTGTGCCCAGCAGATGGGCCAGCCACCCCCCGCCCGGCTTCTGTGTTTACATAACAATCGCGGGCCCTGGCCGGTGGGCGCAGAAGCCTGGGGGGGCCCCCCCCCCCCCCGGCCGCCTGGGGCACCCGGCTGGCCCCCACTTGGACCCGAGCATTTCCAGGCGGGCCCACGGGAGGCCTTTGCTGCAGCCTGTGCGGAGGTCAATTGATGCGCCGGGCTAAATTAGGTGCGCTCACAGCCCAGAAGCCACAGATGACTGAGGCCTGCAAGGGGGCCCCTGTGCTGTGCACCCCTCCCCCCCATGGGACGTCCCACTTCCGGCTGGCTATTTCCACCCAGTGACTGATGCTGCCAGGACAGCCCCTTAGAGGGGCGCCTGAGGCCCGCGCCGCGTCATGACAAGGTTTGGCCCTGACCGTGCCCACAGCCCGCGCCCAAGGGGTCTGAGGGCTTGGCTGTGCACTTCCACTTGCCTTCTGGAATATTTCTGCCAAGAAGGCACAGCTGAGTGAGACCAACCGCGCTGAGGGCCGGGAGTTCTGCACTCCTCCAGACGCCCCAAAGGAGAGAAAGTCTGCGGTCGTGCTAAGAGAGGCGGCCGGCCGCGTGCAGTCCACGCTCATGTGTCCTTTGCTGTAACTGGCGTCGTCGCGGCCGGCGGGGTCTGAAGGAGGCCTGCCGATCACGCCGGCCTTGCGGGGCTCAGCTCCACACGTGTATGGTTGTGCTGCGGTTGTGTAAGAGAACGCCCCTGAGCATTTAGGGCAAAGGGGCAGGATCCCTACAAGGACGCTCACGTGGCTCAGAACAGACCTCGTGTGTGTGTGTGTGTGTGTGTGTGTGTGTGTGTATGCTTGTATGTTAGTGGAGTCTGGCTGCGGATGCCGTGGGAACTGACCTATTGGAGCTTTCCTGTAAGTCTGCGATTCTGCCAGAACACAGAACACAGGTGTGAAAAGGAGGAGACAGGACAGCGCACCTGGGAGCCCACAGTTCTGGGACGTCTGCACCTCGCCTGGGAGCCGCGGGGCCCAGATCGGGAAAGAGGGAAGGCCCGACGTCCCGGCCAGCTCCTGGCACCCCCTGCGTGGGCACAACGCCTGCCGCCTGACGTCCTGGTGACCCACGTGGACCATGTGGGGGAGGGGCAGTGTGGTGTTTGGGGCGCACCTGCCCTCCCCCCCCCCCCAGAGGACAGGTGACTCTGGTGGGGGGGCAGCGTGGGGTGCTGGCAGATCACGGGGTACAACAGTCTTTCTGGGCGGAGGACCGTCTCCTATGACTGCCTATCCACAGACGTGGAGCACAGCGGGGCTCGGCAGGAATGAGATGGAAGTCCCCGTGCGCCCCAGGTGGCAGGTGACCCTGAGGTGCTGTCTCTGGCGATAGGTTTGTCTCCCCATCCACTGAGTCATGACTGCATTAACCAGTTCAGTTGACCACCCTTCTTTTTTTTTTTTTAATTTTTTTTTCCCAACGTTTATTTATTTTTAGGACAGAGAGAGACAGAGCATGAACGGGGGAGGGGCAGAGAGAGAGGGAGACACAGAATCCGAAACAGGCTCCAGGCTCCGAGCCATCAGCACAGAGCCTGACGCGGGGCTCGAACTCCCGGACCGCGAGATCGTGACCTGGCTGAAGTCGGACGCTTAACCGACTGCGCCACCCAGGCGCCCCAACCACCCTTCTTGCTAAATTCGAATTTAAGCTAAATTTCACTATTTTCGCTGTTTTGGTTCTTCTGCCCACACGTCTGGACCAGCCGGAAAGGTCATCAAGAAATGCCCAGGCCCCATCCCAGAACACCTCCATCGGGATCCCCGGGTCGGGGGAAGCTGGGCATGTTGTGCTTTAGAAAGTGACTCTAGGGGTTTTGAAGGGGCATGCAGCATCGCAAAGGGCTGCCTAGAAGGTTGGCCTCAATGACCTGGCTATATACATATATTTTTAAATTTTGTTTACTTATTTTGGGGGGGGCAGAGAGAGAGAGAGAGAGAGAGAGAGAGAATCCCAAGAGAAAATCCCAATCCAGGCTCCATACTGTCAATATACAGCCCGATGCAGGGCTCGAACTCACGAACCAAGAGATCGTGACCTGAGCCAAGATCAAGAGCCAAGACACTTAACTGACTGAGCCCCCAGGTGTCCCAGACCTGGATATATCCTTAAAATGAGCAGGGATGTGGGCGTTGCAGGAGTGATCCTCAGGGCAGGGCCAGGCGTGGGACTTCAGTACGCAAAGACTGATGTTGACCGCCTGGTGTCCTTGATCCCTTACCCAAGACTTGCTCAGGAGACAGGTGTGGGTGGGACGGTAGGGTTTGCCCTGTAGGGACGTGGTGGAGACACGCGCTCTCGGACACCATGGCGGGTAGACTGAGCATCTGTGGTGCATGGATCTTGATGGTGCAAAACCCAGAGGTGTCCCCACAGACCTCACCGGGTAGGGCCCGTGGTTAGTGCTGGTGCAGAGCAAGACGCTGCTGGGTGCTTCTTGAACCTTTCCTCTCAGCCGAAGGTATTGCTAGGTTATTCTGGAAATTGGGTTTTAATCACCTCTTTCTCCAGGATTTCTGGGGCAAACACGTACTGTCTGTTCAGAACGTGGAGGTCTGTATAAAACTATCATTTGTGGTTTCTGTTTTGGCACAGGTCGGACGCAGAGGGATTGTTTCCATGGCACAGAACCCGGGAGAATGTAGCCAGCCTGCCCACAACTCTGCCCGTGCTGGTGGCCGTGAGAAGTGCGGGAGCCCAGCTCCGCGGAGAGGGTGGGCGTGTCCAGGTGTGTCTGGAGGAGCCTTGAGGGCACGGCCTGGGAGCGAATTATTGAGGCATGAGTGCCTGTGGGGTATCTACACAGGATCCCCCCCACCCCCGGCCGCACTGGGAGCTGTATTCTGGCTCTGAAAATCACAGAAATGTGCTTTGTCCTCAGGGAGCCCACGGAGGCATTGCTGTTCGAAGCACGAAGATGCAGAAGGGGACCGTCCATGGGGCCTTGGGGCCCACCAGCCTCAGCACCCATGGGAGCTTAGACAGCAGACGTGTTCCTGACGGAGGCAAAGTGTCCGAGGTCAGGGGCAGACGGGGTCCAGTTCAGGGCAGAGCCTTCCTGCCCGGTCCTTCTGTGCGGGAGAGAGGGCTCCGTCTTCTCTTTCCGTAAGGGCACTAGTCCCACTGTGAACCCCACCCTCATGAACCCCCCAGCCCTCATCGCCCCCCACAAGGCCACCCGCTTCCAAATGCCGTCCTCCTGGGGTTAGGGGTGCAGTTCGCACTCAGGACACCACACTCGTCCCTACGGTCCAGACAGTGAAAGGGAGTGAGGGTAGCCTCACACCGTATGACGTGTCCTTGATGAGGGCATGTCGCGTATCCCCTACAGGACACGAAGGCGCAGCGAGTGGCACCGTTGGTTACCAAACTGGGAAACGCGTTTAAGAAAAGTTCTCAACCAGGGAAGTTGTTTTACTTCCTGTTTGGTAAGGAGTATGTTTGATTTAAAAATTTTCCATTCTTCTGAGAGACTTCAAGCCCTCCGTTCTCAATATCGCAGAACGTGTGTGCGTGCGTGTGTGTGTGTGTGTGTGTGTGTATCCGCTGGCGTCTCCACCTCTCTGCAATCTCCTTCTCACCCAGACGCTGCCTGCATCACCGGGATGGGCCACGTATCCATGGCCACTTGAAGAACAGGGAAGAACTGGTACAGAAAACACCTTCCCCCTTCTTCATTTTCCCGCCAGGAGTGGGTGGCTTTCGTGATAAGCAGGTTGTAGACAGGGCTGTTCTCGGTATCTCAGGGCCGGCGTCCCCTCTCAGAGGCTGGGAGAAGGCTGCAGGGTGTCAGGGACCTCTGTGGGTCACAGGACACCAGGGCCCTCTGGCACAGAGGCCTGGCTGCTGGTGACCTCAGCTGGAGAGAGGGCTCCTTTTGCAAGGTGCTGGCTTCTGGCATCCCTGGAGACCCGCTGGCCCTGCTCTCGCCTGCCCGCCGCAGCCTGCACGTGGGGGCCCAGGATAGAGCACCTGCTCCGTAAAGGCTCCTCCGGTGACACCATGCGCATCCCCGTCTGTCTGAATCCAGGCTCCCTCCGGCCCACGATGTTGGTGCCCCGCGATAGCCTGACTTTGGTTGCTGGTAACCCTGAGTGGGTGTGGTGCTCAATAACCCACAGAAGACAGAATTCAGCCTGCAGAGGTGGCCGAGGAGGAAGCCAGGTGGGACAGCAGGTGGCTGGGGTCCTGGGGTCACTCCGCCTCAGTCCTCATCTGTGAGTTGGGGACAGGGGACGGCCCATTGCTCTGCTGAGGCCACAATCCCCTGAGCTGCGTGCCGGGCTCCTGGAACCGCGCAGCGCCTGTGCCCGCTGAGCGGAAGAGGAAGACCCAAGAGGAGTAAATGCTGCTCGGATGGCCTTCGCCACCAGCTGTGATGCTCCGCGGAGCTGTGACGCGGTGTGCGAATGCGCTGTGCTCGGGGCCTGAGTAATCGCAGGTTCGATTCAACAGGTGTACCTGCAGGGGTGACACCTGCAGATGAAATGCTGGGGAAGGGCCACCTCCGTCTTTATGCTGCTCCCGGTTTCACTCTTGGCTTTTGGGATTCAGAGCTGGACGAGCTGAGGTCTTTGCTCTGGTGCCGCAGTGTTGGGTGGCACTGGGAGCGGCCTGGCCCCCAGAGTCCCGGGCACAGGGCCTTGGAGGCCCAGAGAGAGGCCCCGGGAACGTCCGGCACGGATGGAGTCCCGAGCAGAGGCCACGGCGACCCAGAAGGAGGCACAGGGCCCTGGAGCCCATCAGCCAGGCTCTCGAGGACGGGCGTGCTCATTTTCTGCACCCTGCCTTCCCCGGGGCCCTCATGGCGCACAGATGCCTTCGTTCACCTCCATCCATCACAGGACATTAACGTCGCGAACCGCACAGCTGCCGAGGGTAATGTTTCCAGCTGAGTCAGCAGAAGGCAGGGTTTTGAGAGGAGGAGCTCCGGTTCCGTGCCTTTTTTTTTTTTTTTTAAATGAGAAAGCACATATTGTGCTGTCCTCTTCGCCTCAGAGCCAGAGGCTAATTAGAGTCTACTTTTCCATTGTTCCCAGGCAAGCAAAAGCCAAACACACTCCTGGCGGAGATGGGAGGCAGCCGGGCCTGGGCAGCCCTTTCTCTCTGGCTCAGAGTTTCC